ATGTAAAGGGCTTCTGTATGGCTAGGGAATGGGGGGGGGGGCCTCTTTGAGACAAATCTCTAGGGTGGTAGGAGAGGATTCTCAGGACAGAATGAGTGGCTGTGGCTCCCAGCCTGGTCCCAGGATTCACACTTTTCCTCCCAAGAATCCCTGGGTGAGGCAGGCATTGAGGAGGGGCCCATATACCCAAGTCCCCACTCCAGTGTTCAGACCCCAAACTCTGTGGCCCAAAGTAGAGTTACTACCACTGGGCCACCACTGGTCCCAGAGGGGCCAGGACAGCGAAGGAGAAGGGATCAGTTGTGGCCAAATCCCGACCCCCAAGCCCAGGCCGCACTGGTACATTCCTGGGCACGTCCCCAGTACCCCTGCCTCTGGTCCTCACTCCAGCTCTGGGAGGGGGGCTCGCCACTCCCGTTGTGCAGAGGAGGAAACTAAGGCTCAAAGATTTCTGACACATGGGCTGCCTCTGGCCTGAGCATGGCAACTGCATCATAAACCAATGCCAACCTCCTTGGCCTGAAACGCTGCTAGGGTGAGCAAGGCAGCTGAGGCCTGGGGCAGGGTGTGATGGAGGGCCCCACCTGGATGGTCAGAGCCGAGTCTCTCTGAAGAGATGACATCTGAATAAGCCCTGGGTGAGGAATGAGAAAGTGGCAGCAAGGCGAAGAGCTGAAGAGAATGCCAAGCTGAAGGAATGAGTGTGAAGGTCTTGAGGTGCAAAGAACTCAGTGCCCTGTCAGGCACTGGGGGGCTGCTTTTTAGGGAGAGAGGAAGAACGTGGCGCAGATGAGGAGGGGCGGTCAGCAGGGGCTGGCCACCTAGGCACTCAGGCTGTGCTGAGTGGCTCAGATTTTACTCCAAGAGCAATGGGAGCCTCTACAGGGTTTAATCCGGCGAGAGATGGGATCTGACTTCTGTTCAGCTCCTTGGGGATCCTGGATTGAGGGTGAGGGTTAGGGTGGGGACCCAGGTCTGTCAGAGGGACTATAGAGGAGGCTGCCCTCCTAGGGGAGGGATGGTGATGGCTTAGGTTTGGGGATGGCAAATTCAGTAGAGAAGTAGAAGATCCGGGATGTCTGGAGGGGAGCCTAGATGCCTGCCAGTCCCTGGTGTCTTTATTTGGCAGACTACTCCTTCAAGGAGCTGCTCAGCAGATCCTCTCCCACAGCCCAGGAGGGGCTAGGTGTGCCCAGGACACTGCCAGCAGGCCCTTTTGTGACAGGACTGCTCTGGCCAGGGGTCCAAGTCTATTCATCTGTCTCCTCCGCTAAGCTGGGCACCCTCAGAGAGGCTGCTTCTGGTCCATCTGGTACCCACCCTGGTGCCAAACTCAGTCACCCCAACCAGGGCTGGTGACCAACCATCACTAACCCTCCCCCGCAAGGCCTCACTGCTTGTCTTCTGAAGGGTGTGGAGGGCTGGGTGGGTGCATCTCTGCAGAGCTCCCCAGGACAGGCTGGCCATGCGTCAGCAGCACTTCCTTCCTCTGCTGAAGTCTTGCTCTTACCCTCACCTCCTGCTCCCCCAGGCTCGCTCGCACGATCCTCACTTGGACCTCAGACCTTGGAGTCAGAATGTGAGCCCGATGGCCAGGAACCCAAGCATGAGTCCACTGCTTCAAGTGGGCACCTCCACCTCAGAGGTCTCAGGGCATGCCCAGACACTGGGGCGGCACAGGGAAACAGCCCCAAGTCCCTGCAAGAGCCAAAAGGCTCAGCTCAAGTTTTTTTTTTTGGAATTGAGATGTAATTTACATACCCTGAAATTGACCATTTTAAAGTACACAATTCAGTGGCTTTTAATATGCTCACAAGGTTGTACAACCATCCCCACGATCTAATTCCGGAACATATTCATCACCCCCCAAAAAAATCCCATACCCATTAGCAGTCACTCCCCATTCTCTTCTTCCCTGAGCCCCAGCAAACATTCCCCTACTTTCTGCCTCTGGATTCGCCTATTCTGGGCATTTCATCTAAATGGTGAAAGGCTCACCAGCCTTCTGGGCCACAGACACCAAGCGGAGCCCCTGGAAGGGGCCAGAAGAGTGACAAGGCCTCATATGCTTTCTGAGATGAGAATTTGTACCAAATTGTCAGTTCTGCACATCCTAGAGTCTGAGTTTCCCTAAGGAGTGATGCCTCACTCATCCCAGAAATCCCTCAACGTCTGGCCCAGGACCAGGTCATTGCCCTCCCGACTACAATCCCAGAGTGGAACAAACAAAACAAGCAGTGGGTACAGGTCTAGGTTTGTCTGCAAACCTACATGAGACTCCTGAAAGACATTAGCTGTGAAATTAACCTTGACCTAATTTCCACTTCCAAAAACAGAGTTTGCAAGGAGCCAAGTACCAAAAAGAAGCAAAATCTCCCTCAGCACCCCCCTGGTAATTGCTCCTGACAGGATTCCAGTTTGCCCACTTTGAGGTGTCCAGCGTAGTAGCCACATGGGTGTTCCATCCAGACAAGGGCAGAGAAGGTCCCTGGTATGGGTTTTCCCCACTGTCAGGGAAGGTCAAGCGATCAGCCTTAAGCTCTCCAGCACAACTGTTGACCAGTTGATTCTCTCAGAGAGGGCAAGGAGCAAAAGGGGCCTAGTTCCAAAGCGCACGGGCAGGGTTTGGCAGCGTATCCTCTATTCCCTGAAGATGGCCTCAGGAAAACACAGCTTTGGGGAAAAAACCTCCAAAGACAATTCTTCCTGAGGACCTCACAAGGGACTCCTAACCCACTGTAAGAGTATCTTTCTTCATTCCAGACACAGGAACCTTGAATCACATGATAAATGGGTTCCCAAAACACAGGATCAATTAATTTTGCCTTTTAAAAGCTCACCGTATTTCAAATGTCCACATAACTCTTCGAGTAACACAAACACCTACTACTCTTTTAGCTGTTCCTTTGTAACAGGTTTGCTTAAAGGACCCCCCCCCCCCAATTCATGTACATCTTCCTCACCCAGCGTCTCCCCAGCGCAGGCCCTCCCGTGCCTCTGTCCTTGTCTCCAGCCCCACGGAGCAGCCAACGCCAGGGCACAGAAAGTCAGCTCCAGAGCCTGCCCTCTTCCTGTGAGCCCAGGAGCCAGGCCGTGGGAGGCGACAGCAGGGTGGGGAGGAGGACAAAGGGACTGGCCCCTATAAGAGAGAATGTTACACACAGAAATGCATCTGCTGCAGCTTGAGAACGATCTCAAAGTTTAAAAGATAACTGATCCAGGCCAGGAGAGTGGTGTTGTGCCTGCTCCAGCCCCCGCTCCCCCTGAGTCCTGACTGCTGGAGGCCAGCCATCTGTGACACTCTGACCAGTATAAGCTAAAGGACACCAAATGGTTCCATCACCACACCCTTGTGGAGATCAAGGAACTCCCACCCTGGGCGCTCCCCTACCCCTTGCCCAGACTGTAAAAGGAACTCAGAAACACCGCCTTTTCCCTGCACCTCTGTGGAATCACAAGATGCTGGAGGGAACCTGCCTGCAAGGTCTGTTTTGAGCCTTTTGTTCAGTCTTGGTGATCAGCAACCCCAGCCCCAAAAAGAAGCCCCCTGTCAGCAACTCCGCTGCTGGTGTTTAGGCAGTGGCGGATTATGTCCCACCACCTAGCCCCAAGTCTAAGAGTTTACACCTTGTAGGGAGCCCCCAAAGCATTTTTGTTAATAGCAGGCTCATGGAAGGTAGAGGTCTTGGGGGAGAGCTGCTGTGTCAGGTGGCAAGGTCAGAAGGCAAGCAAGCCCCTTCCCCCACAGACTTGGAAGGAAGCAAATACCTCACAGACGGAGCCAGAAAGCGACAGACCACTCAACCAACCAACGTGTTCCTTTACAGATGAAGGAACGGGGTCCAAAGGGCAAGGAGCTTATTTCCAGTCAGCTGTCTACCAGGTTTTCCATCTTGGGTTTCTGGAGAGAAGCCCCAGTCTACTTTCTCACGTCCCACCAGCTTCAGCATGAAACTGCTTTCAGAACCTACGCTCCTCACTCTTGATCTGAAAGAACCTGGCAGTCACTCTCCACCCTCTGAGTGACGGATGACCCCCCACCCTAACATATGAGCCTCCCCCTGCTGGCCTGACCTACACGGGGGTCTATGTTTGCACCCAACACCCACCCACCACAGACCCCAAGCCCTTTCATGTACCCTCGAAGCTCTAATCTAACCCCTGACTTGGGCCAGCTGAGCAGAGTCTGGAACACTAATCTGAGTTTTTCGTTAAGCACAGCTTTAGTGCTGCCCCGAAGCACTCAGAAAAGGCTCTTCACACTTTAGGTCACCTTCACCAATGGGCAGAAAAGCATGGTTTGTAATATCATGTAGTCTTCTAAGCACTGGGTACTAAAACCAGTTCAATTTGCAAATTGATTAAACAGGCCCCTAACTGACATTACTGACTTGAAACATGAAACACCTTTGCAAGCCGTTCCTGGTGCATTTGAGACCAAGCCAACTTCTTAAAAACCTACTTTCCCCACATTGTGGTCAGGTTCTTTCTCTGGGAAGGCCACATTCATGCCAACAAGGACAGAACGAGTAGGAGATGTTTCTTCCGTACAACCAGAAGACCTGAAGCAGCCCAGCTTTTCTACCCATTCCCCCCAGCTTGGGACTTAGTGGGAGAAGGCTAACAGCAAAGCTCAAAACTCCATGCTACCTACACCACCCTAAGGAGGGGTGGGTGGTCTCAGATTAAAAGTTCTTCAAGAAGATGCTACCCTAGCATCACTGAGCTCCAGGACAGAGTCAGCACCTGCTAGTGACCAAGCTGGGAAGACAAAAGCCGACCGCTGGAGGTAAGTGGGGGTGCTTGGGCCTGTCCTCTTTCCTTCAGGAACGATCTCTTTCTGGTTCAGACCCCACTGGGTGTGTATGGGGAAAGGGACAAGAACAGCGTTCTCCTGTATCTATTCTGTTCTAGGTAAAAGTCACTTCTTGCCCATGCCTCACATACCTGATGAAGGAGGTAGCAGGCACAAGGCCGGCTGGGCTGCTGGGGCCACTTACCAGCGGGGGCTGCGGCTGGGGGTGCTGCCCTGCTCCCGAGGGGGGCGGGTAGTGCATGAGCAGGTTGAAGGCAGAGTAGACGGTGTCTTTGTACATGCCGCTGGTGCACTCCGGGGCCTTCAGGCCTGGAAAAACCACAGCTGGTCAGAAGCGCCAGCCCAGGGCGGCTGGGGCTGAAGGCTGTCTGCTCGACCGAGAGAAGATCAGAACTGCCAAGGTGTCCCCTTCAAGTTCCTGACTTGAAGGGCTGGGGCGGGGGAGTCCCCGCAGTGCCAAGGTTTGACGACGGACCCAGATTTCGGGCCTCCCTTCCTCGACCCCAACTCTGCCCTCCGGCCAAGGAACCTTGGCCAGCGCGTCCTCCTCAAGACGGGGGATTAGTCAAGTCACCTGGACAGGAGGGGAGGCGGAGATGGCGGGGGTCTGTTTACTCCTATAAAGGTCAGGGCACCGGAAGTGACTCGAGCCTGGCGGCGCCCGTGAAACCCGCCCCCCACCCCACCCCCCCACCCCCTCCGCTTTACCGCCTCCCCGAGCTGCCGTGGGGGGCGGGGAGAGACAACCCCCTCGGCTCCCTCCCGTACTCGGCAGCCCGGCTCTCCCACCGAGGCCGGGCCTTAGCGGGAGGAGGGGAGATGGGCTGGGCAGAAACTCACCGTCTTCCAGAGACTCTGAAAGTTTGTCGGGGAAAAGTCTCTGCGAAGTGTGTTCCCGCCCGAGAGCCTGCGGGGAGATCCAAAGGGGCCTTGAGAGGGCTGGGAAAGCTGGGGGCTCGGGGCCCGGGACGGGAGGGGTCCGAGGGATGGGGACCCCTGAGAGCCGCGGGAGGGAGGGGCGGGGCAGCGCGAGCCGAGCGCCAGGGGCGATGGAGCGAGGCGGCTTAGGGGGAGCAACGGGGCGCGGGCCAGAGCTCACCTCCGCCCCGACCTCGGCCTCGCCGCGGGCACCGGCGCCCGCCCCCGGGACCCCCGCGTCGCCGGCCGCGCCCTCGGACTCATTGACGAGCGACGACTTGAGCTCAGCCAGGTCGCGCTCGGGGCCCGCGGCGCTGTCGCGGCTCTTGTCGTCCTGCTCCTCGCCTTCGTCCTGGAAGGCCAGCAGCTCGTCGGGCGCGCCGAGGTCGTCGCCGCCGCCCGTGCCACCCCCGCCCGAGTCCAGCTGCGGCATGGTGCGCTCAGCCTGCGGGGTCTCGGGGCTCGGGGGTGCGGGGCGCGGAGCCGGCCCGGGAGGCGGCGAGCCCGGAGTCCGGACCTCCGAGCCCGGATCGCGGCGGGCGGAGCGCGGGGTGACTCCGCCTGGGCGGGCTGCGGGCGCGGGGCGCGGGCGCCGAGTTGAGAGGCTCCGGGAGCTGGCGGGTCAGAACATCAAAGGCGCCGCCGGCGGAGTGCCGGGGGCGGGGCGGGGACGCCGGGGGCGGGCCCGGCCGGGGGGCGGAGCCAGAGCGCCCCGCCCCTCCTCTCCTGGGAGAGGCCGGGACGCGCCCAGTGGGCATAGTCTTAAAGGGCTCGCTCTCCCAGCCTTTGGATGGTGCGTCGGAGGACCCTGAAAAGCATCACCCTTCTGAAATGCGGGAAATCTAAAGGGGGTTCTTAACCCCGATTCCTCACCTACAACAAGGGATTCCTTTCCTGCACCCAGGTTTCTCCCTCAGCTGTGTAGTGCTCAGGTCCCCTAGGCAGCCAAGGTGTGAACAGTGTCTGTGCCTGGGCTCAGTATAGTATGTCCTGGGCTTGGAACTGGGGTCTTCCTTGAGTTTAAGGGCTTCTCGAGGCTATGATCGAACACCGGGCCGGCAGAGTTAGGACTCCTCAAAACTCCATTCTCTGGGTGCATCTTCCAGCCCTCTGCCAATCCGGGACCTCCTTCCAGGTCGCCCTCACGCAGCGCAAGCACAGGCATTATACACTCTCACACATTTATTGAGTGCCTCTTGTATGAAGGACTCATACACCGCATAACTGTGACGGGCCTCTCAGCCACGTGGCGGCTCGGAGGTGCGAACGCAGCCAAGAGGGCAAGAAAGAAGCATCCCTCCAGGGCCCGTGCCAATCCTCCAGACCCGACTCACCCCCCACAACAACTCGTCCAACTGAGTTCCATGCCCAGAACCTGTGGCCCGGCCCGGGAGGCGAGGCTTTGGGCAGCTCCGTGGGCTGCTGGATTGTGATGAGGGGTTGGTGGTCCCAAGCAGCTTAACCAGGAAGTCCCGTTCGCGCAGAGTCCATCGACTCCAAGCCTGGCGCAGGCCGTCCCTCGCAAGGTCTAGGCTTCAGGGTCTACACGCGGAGAAGCGCCGGAACGTGGAACGTGAGCCAACTTCCTTCCGAACTACCAGGCCCCCTGGGTCATGTCCATGCGGGCCTCCTCATCATGCTTGACTTCAGCTCAGACACTGTATCTAGGCAAGAAACAGGCCCTCTAGAATCGCGGTGCAGTAAACCGCAGACCAGGCAGGTTTCCGTGCTGGATTCAGTGTTGACCTTCCCACGTCTCCCGAAAGCAACTGGTGCAGAGGGTATTTAGGAGAGAGCATCTTGGACGCTTGTCCGGTTCAGAGTCCCACAGGACTCCTGCAGCGGCGCAAAGCCTGGCCGGAAGAGGGCCGAGCCGCCCCTGCGGGTCCAGGGCCAGCCGGGCTGGCTGCGGATCAAAGAGCCGCCCTTCTCTGCGTTCAGATCCTATCTGCACCCGCCCAGCGGGTCGCCTCGGCCCCCCACTTCGGGGCTGGAGTGCCCATTTTTCCTCCCTTCCTGGTGCTGCGGGTGGGGTGGGGGGGGGGGTGGGGGCTTTTGGGCACTAGTACTCCGTTTGTGATGGAGATGTGTGAAGACCCTGCCTATTAGTTTTCCCCAGACTCCTTTTTTGGGTGTGAGCTGGGAAGAAGGTACTGGAGGAGGGGATCGAAGCTTCCGCCACCTCCTCTGCCCCTGAGGTTGCTGGGTCTGGCCTTTGACTGAGCCTCCTCTGGAGAGTGAATGGCAGTATAAATCCGCCTAACCCAAAAGCTTTGGAGGTCTTCCTCTGTTTTCCGGCGGCCCCAGTTTAGCAGGAGCCTACTCTGGCACAAAGGCCTGCAAACCCGGTACATAGGCCAGGGGGGCGGGGGGGGGGGTTGAAGATTTCTCCATGGAGAAGGGAGAGAAGTCAGGGCAACAGTGAAGTGGCTGGTTTGTTTTACCCAATAAGGCTAAATTTTTTTTCAGCTTAAAGTATTAGCCTTTAGTCAGAGCTTATGAGCTTTCTGTTCTATTGCTGTGAAAACAACCTTTCTTTACTAAAATGATGGTAAGAATTGATTTTTAAAATATTTTTATTTACCAGAAAAAAAATTTGACCACTCTCTATTCCCTCTCCCACCCCAAATTTCTTTAGACATTTTATGGGGCTGTGAAATCCCACCGTCTGGGAACTGCTGTCCTATGGGGTGATGGCCCCAACTCTTGCTCTGCTGGATGGAACAAGGGACGGGGTAGGTGAGTAGGGAGAACAAGGTGTGAGATGGGGTAGGGTAGGGGGAGAGAGAAACTGATTCTCAGACTTCCACAGCCACACTGGAATCAGCCTGAAGGTGTACTGAGGGAGCTTCTATCCTGTACCTAACCCTGGACTCAGGCTGTGGGGAAGGGAGGGGCCAAGGAGGGGACCTGCCCTCCAGGAGGCATTGACTGCTAGAGAAGCTGAGAAATTACTAGAGCTGAGTTTGTTACTTCATTAATCTATACAGATAATGGGCAGAAGGAGCTCAGATACGGGGAGATCAATGTGGCTGGACTGGTCAGGCTTTCTTCCTGAAGGAGATGGACACACTTCATCTGGGCCTGGAAAGCTCTGTAAGGCTTAGGGAAAGAGAGAGAAAAAGATATTCGGGCTTGTCCCCATAAGACAGATCCACCTGTGCAGCAGCCCCTTGTCTTGTCAGCACTGATTCCAGCGTCATCATCCACACAGAGATGTCATAGTACTGACTGATTACTATGTGCCAGGCATCAGGTCAAGAGCTTCACACACATTATCTCATTTAATCACCATACCAATTCTATAACATAGGGACAGTTATCTGCATTTATGGATGAGGAAACTTAGCCTCAGAGAGGTTAAGTAAGTTATCCCAGGTCTCACAGCTTAGAAGTAAGAATATTAGTATTCTGAACCCTGGCAGTCTAACTTCTGAGCGCCCCTAACTACCACATTCTAGTGTTTCATTATGACTTCTAAAATTCCAGAGTGTGTCCTTATCTGCTTTGTGATCTTTGAAGACAAATTGGGATGAATGAGCTGTCACTGGGGACTTTCCCAGTGGCTAAGACTCCACGCTCCCAATGTGGGGGCCTGGGTTCGATCCCTGATTAGGGAACTAGATCCCACATGCTACAAGTAAGGGTTTGCATGTCTCAGCTAAATATTGAAGATTTTGTGCTACAACTGACTTGGCACAGCCAAATAAATTAAAAAAAAAAAAAACTGTCATTAATAGAATCTCAGCTTTCTGGGTGGCTCATGTTGCATACAGGGGCCACCCAGAGGATTGGGGAAACTTCCTGACTGGTCTGTATAGAGTAGCTCAAGCGATTTGCTGGCTGAAAGGGCCCAACCAATCTCATCTCCCTTGAGTCAGATGGACTTTGGCATGTACCATCTCTCCCATGGATATACCATCTCTCATCCCACTCTAGACACCTGCTCTGGGCACTGACTCAGATCCCAAACAGAGATAGTAGACTCTGGGGTGTTTCTACGGAGTGGTGAATAGAATCTGTGGCTGCTCCCCTGAAGGTGACCAGGGAGTTTGGGGACCAAGGCCAGCTGCATGGAGGCCCCAGAATCTTCTGGGTTCATGCAGCCCAGGATTTTAATGAGGCTTCATCTTCATGCTAATGAACCTGGTGGACTGTGCTGTCATCAGAATCTGAATGCAGGACAAAGTCAGAGGTCTTAAGAGTTGAGGGATGGAACAAAAGATCTCTGGGTTTGGGTTTATACAAACCTGGTTTCTATCCCTGTCCTGTCATTTCTTAGCTGGGGAACCCCAGACAAATCACGGACCCTCTCTGAGCCTCAGCTTCCTCATGGGTAAAATGGGTATCACCCTAAGCCTGCCTTGCTCTGTGAGGTTGAGATGACTCATGTTTCCTAGGAAAGAGCTTAGCATGACACCCAGCACATTCCAAGCGCTCTAATAAATGGGTGCTCTTGAGCTAGATATTTTTCGGAAGTTGTTAGGCTAATTGGCTCTTCATGTAACGTCATGTAAATCATCTAAATGTTCTCATGGTCTGAGCCCACTTAATCACAACTATAAGGCTGAAAATATACATTTCCTTTCCTTTTCTTTCAAGTTCCTTTAACATGAAAGGATCACATGAACTCTCTGACCTTTTCTAACAGGGAGACCCTTGAGATGTGGCGTTTCCAGAAAAAAGCTCAAAGGAGCCCCAGATGGATTTGGTAAATTACAACGAGGAGAGGTTCAGAGTGGGTCTCTTCCTGCCCGCCAGCCGCCTGGCATCCTGTTAGGGCTTGCTGAACACTGCCTGAAGGCTGGGCTGCTGGCTCCAGGCAGGATCTCTTCCTGTGAGGCTTTCTTTCTCAGGGCAAAGCCTGGTCACACGTCCTAGAGGCAGACTGTGGTTTGTTACTAGAAACACAGTTTGCTCTCTGAAAACTCTGTGTAGTTTCACTGCATGTCTGTGCATGTATGTCTGCGTGTGTACATGTGGGAGGTTGTGGCCTGCAGAATGGTAAAGACACACCGTTGCTGGAGGCAACAGCTCTGGCAGCTGCCTTTAAAATAAAGCAAGAGGGGACTTCCCTGGCGATCCAGTGGCTAAGACTCCTCTTTCCCAGGGCAGGGGCTCTGGGTTCAATTTCCTGATCAAGGAACTAGATCTGGCCTGCCACAACTAGAAGATGCTGTGTGCCGCAACTAAGACCTGGTACAGCAAAATAAAAAAATAAAAATAAGTAAATGTTTAGAAAATAATAATAAAATGAAGCAAGAGGGTCTGCTTTATAATCTTCTGTGTGTTCTCCCCTAGACTGCTCCCCCCATGAATGGAATAACCAAGAATTACTGCTTCTCCTTTTTTTTTTTTTTAATATTTATTTATTTGGCTGTGCTGGGTCTTAGTTGCCGCATGTGGGATCTAGTTCCCTGACCAGGGAATAAA